TATAGGTGTGTAAACTCAGCAAAATAGTCTAAAAGAGTCCAGTAGCCCATAATAGCATTGGGTCTTCTGTTTAACTGGCAATGTCAGAAATTATTGACCTGAGTTCCCCACAGCTCTATAGTTACATTTAACCATTATTTTTATATTTGCTTATTTTTGTGCTGGAGATCAAACTTAGGACCTTACGCTTGCCAGGCAGAAGCTTACACTGCTGAACTATCTCCCTGGCCCAACCGTTATTTTTATAGTTAGTGTTTGAATTAATGAGTGTCTAAATTGAGGATAGGCTTTAAGAGTATGAACAAGCCTTCGGTGAATAAACACCTTAGCAAAGATGGAAGTAATGACTTCTATCTCTATTACTTGTATAATATGCTTTGTTGTGTTTACCTTATATTTTGTAGGCTTTTTTACGCACATTCTATTAGATGAAGCTGCTCAGGCCATGGAGTGTGAAACTATTATGCCCCTAGCATTAGCAACTAAAAGCACTCGTATAGTTTTGGCTGGCGATCATATGCAGGTAAGTGCCTTCTCAGTCAGTACGTTGAAAGTGACCTTTTAAATTATATTTTGATGTTTAATACTCTTTTGTAGAGCATGCTATGAAATTGTGCATTTACCATAGTGTAAGCATTTTAAGTATTTCTTACAAATGGTGAAAAATACTTGTATTTATGAAGATAAATTACTGTTCCACCACTCTTTTGTTTACAATGTTTGGGATGAATGAGTCTTAGCAGAATTATGACTTTTATGTTTATTAATTTGAATTTCATTTCTCTATATTATGCCTATTTGACATCCACCCCCAGCCCTCTTGCTTTTCTTTATCAATCAAATTTAAATTATTCTTCCTGCAATCCATTGACTATTGTTTCTTTTTCTTTTTTTTTTTTTTTTAGGGCAGGGTCTACAGGGTCTCACTGCGTAGATGGGACTCAGTGATTTTTTTTTTTTTGGGCGGAACTGGGGATTGAACTCAGGCCCTTGCGCTTGCCAGGGAAGCGCTTATTCTACTGAGCCGTCTCCCCGGCCCCTGACTATTGTTTCTAATACCTATTTTTTTTAAGGATTAAGTTTTTGATATCATGAGAAACAACAGGCTTAGTTAAAAATTATAGCCAAAATCTTGAAGCATATGTCAGAGTTTATGCACTTAAATATTTATATATGAGAGAGATGCACGTTTTTAAGAATAAAGATAGCTATTTTGTAGAGTTGCAGTTTGGAGTTATTTCTTTTTTGCCACAGTTGACTTAAGATTGCAACTCCATGGTATTAGAACTGTCAAGACATCCAGGAATAAGTTGAATGTAGAGGAATAAAATCGGTTTTGTTCCCTTGCCTAAAGTAGTTTAATTTTGTTCTTTAACAGTAAAAGGTATAACCTAGAATGACTTTTTATACCTTATGAGATCAAGAGGGTTTTTTAATTATTAAAAATTATCTTTTATTCATAGTCTACATGTCCTTCCAGCTCATCATTTTAGATAGTTCATTAATTTTGGTGAAATAATTGATGTAATTCCGCTCCCTAGTTGTACAGTGGATAGCCTCCCTGAAGTTAATGAAGTATCCACTTTTTGTTTTCATTTGGTGGAGGCTTTTATTATAAACTTACGCGTAGAAATTCTAGGTAGGTGGTTTTTTTTTTTTTTTTTTTTTTGGCGGAACCAGGGATTGAACTCAGGCATCGCGCTTGCCAGGCAAGAGCTTATTCTGCTGAGCCATCTCCCTGGCCCTTAGGTTGGTGTTATACTACAGTTAAGAACTACAAATTTTAGTGTAGGTCCTTAAGTACAATGGTTCATGGAGAATATAATTGATTTTTTTTTGTGTGTATATGTGCACATGCGCATGCACGCACATGGGATGTTATAGTATTCAGCATGTTGTATAACTAAAATACTATTTATGTGTTAATTTTTTCTCTAATATCTTTGTCTATTACAGCTCAGTCCTTTTGTTTACAGTGAATTTGCCAGGGAGAGAAACCTTCATGTTTCATTACTTGATCGACTTTATGAGCATTACCCTGCTGAGTTTCCATGTAGGATCCTTCTGTGTGAGAACTACCGCTCCCATGAAGCTATCATCAAGTAGGTGTGAACTGCCCCTCTGATTCATACCCTTTCTGTGCTCTCTGGCAGGGAAGTCAAATCAGCAGCGTGTTACTAGACATATGCTATTTGCAACAGGTTATAGGATATCCTTAGTATTGCAAGTTGTGTTTAATTTTGTATTCTTAAAAGAAAATCACAAAAGTGATAGTTATAGTTTTTTACAAAATAAGGCATTTGTGGTAACTAAAATTTAGGTGTGACTGTGATGTTTTTCTATGACTATAATCTACATGAGAAATTGTGTGCTGTAATAAATATATTGGTAACCCCTTATAAAGTTATCTGCCTTTTCCTTTGTTGTACAACAAATCTGTTTTAAAGGAAGACAGGAAGGCAGGGATTTTTTTTTTTAAATGTATTTAGTGCAGGGTCTACAGGTTGTCACTATGTAGATCAGACTCGTAGTGATTCTCTGTTCAGCCTCCCAAGTGCTGGGATTACATGTGTGTGCCACCACGCCCAGGCTCAATCACAGTGTCAGTGCGCCCCCAGGGCGGGGCTGGCACGGCAGGCTGCGGATTGAACCCTGGCTGCGGCGCTCTGCCTAAGCAGGCACTTCAGTCTGCTGAGCTGTTTGGCTTTCAAGAGATGCTATAAACTGAGCTGTGCCGGGCTGCAGCTGATGTAACATGGCAAACTGCTTTGTAATAAACAATGATGAAAGGCATCAAATAACTGAACCAGTAATACAGTAATTTGTTGTCATTATCAAGTGTGATGTATATAATTGTATGTGCTGTACTTTTATACAAGTGGCAGCAGTGTAGATTTGTTTACATCAACATCGTCACACATCTGAGAGCACGTTGTGATATACTGTGATGGCTGTGGTATGTTAACCAAGAAGTTATTATGTGGCACATGACTGTAAATACATGATCTATACAGTTACTGTATATGTTAGCCAAAAAAGTGTGCTAGCTGGCAAATTTTCTCATAGAACATAAGTTCTTAACTAGCATTGAACTATCATCATTTCTTCCTTTTTTTTTCTATATTCTGGCTGTATACCTTACCAAAATTAACTCATTTGCCAGTGGTATACTAGGAGCCTTCTCTGTTATCACTGCTATGGTTATTTTTGGAGAAATTACTGGAATCATAAGTATGAAATGTTTGGACTGAAAGGACTATAACAACTGACATAAAGGTGTTTTATTAGAATTTGACAGGGCTTTTGTGGGAGGGGTGGAATTATTTTGTTGACAGATTACATTTTTGAATTTTTCTTTTCTCTACAGCTATACCTCTGAGCTTTTCTATGAGGGCAAACTGATGGCCAGTGGAAAGCAACCAGCACACAAGGATTTCTATCCACTGACCTTCTTTACAGCACGAGGGGAAGATGTACAAGAAAAAAATAGCACAGCCTTTTATAATAATGCCGAGGTACCCTTTTTGCATATAGTTGATATTTTCTCAGTTACACAGTCTGGTTTTGTTGAGCATTTATGTAAAATTTTAGGTTGACGTTTTATTTTTTATTTCCTATACTTGAAAATAGTGTTAAATTTATTTTGTCTCATACAGTGGTATATTAAGATCAATCTATAGGAAACAAAAAATGGATTTCCTTTTTGTCTTAGTGATAAAACACAAAATGCATGATTTTAAAAAAAATTAACATTATTGCTCCCATAGAGATCATTATTAGTATGCATCTAAAAGAGTCTGATTAAACTTTATAGTGCATACTTACAGGAGGAGGTGTAATTTGTAATGAGTAAGACTTGAATTGCAGAATCCTCTGCTCCAAAGATATCACGCAGACTCAGATACTGATGTTGCAACTGCATCATGTGCTCAGATTTATATGGTCCTCTTTCAGTTTCTGGACTTAAGAGAAGCTGTGAGAAAAGGCAGCAGACAAAAAAATGTGTGAAGTCTTTAGGGCCTAACTAGCCAGAAACTTATGAACAGAGTTTTGGCCTTCGCCAGGGACTTCAGGAAACAGAGTACACAGTTATCCCTAGAGGAGTAGTTCCTGTTCTCTGAACTCTACTGTCCCTGAATGTTATAATGTATTCATTTATTTACAAAGAAATGATTTTTATTTTGTACTAGCAACCATATGCCCCCCTCCAGTATTGAAGACTGAACCCAAAGCCTTTATTTACATTGAGCTACATCCCTAGCCCTTTTTATTTGAGACAGCATCTCATTGAAGTTGCGTAAGTGGGACCTTAAGCTTGCAGTCCTCTCTCTCAGCTTCCCGCAGTGCTGAAATTATAGGCATGTACCACCATGTCCAGCTCTTCTTTGTCTTTAAAAATTAATCAGAGAGCTATAGTTGGAAGTCAGTGCAAGAAAATCATCAGTACCACTTGATAAAATCCTAGCCTAGAGCTAAGGAACTTGACATTTTTGTTGGCCTGTGCCATTTAGTTTTAGGAAAAGGTAAACTTTTCTTTAAATACTTGAAACACTGAAAATAACTCTGATGGTGGGGGAGGGGGCTGTCTCCTTTATGTTGCATTTGAGTTGCAAATCAGTGGCTTGGAAATTAGCTATGGTGGTGAGTAGGAGGGCTGACAACAGATAGGCAGGACCTAAAATCCAGAGGCTTCCCTGTTCCTGCTGCCAGGGATCAGAGCTGAGCCTGATTTACCTTGACCTGAGGTGGAGTTGGTATTTGCCTGAGGCTGTTTCTCAGCCTGAGTTACTTGTTCTTTCATAGCGATATGGTGTATTTCCTAGGAAATATATAAGCAAGAGGATAAAGTACATCTTCCCAGATTGTCAATTTTATTCAAAAACTTTGGGGGAAAAATACATACTTCATATTAAAAAAGTACAAAAGCAACATTTGTGTAACCTTTAAATATTAAACATGGAACTTTAGAGAAATTTTAAGCTACCTTGAACTTTACCAGAGCACAATTGTTCATCACTTTCTTCAAAAAAGCGAGTTATTTTAGTATTACCTTGAGTTATTACAGACAAAAGTTGGAGATATACTCGGCTAGGGGCTTTCTCTAGAGGCAATAGAAACTGACCCCACCCTTCGGGAGCAGAGCACCAGCACAGGCGTTCCAGCCTTTTGAATACTGGAGTGAATCTATGTGGATATCAGTCAGTGTGGCATTCTTGCACAGTGAATATTTAAAAGCTTTTTACAAAAAAAAAAAAAAAAAAGATTGGGCTGGGGAGACGGCTCAATGGAATAAGTGCTTCCCTGGCAAGCACAAGGGCCTGAATTCAATCCCTGGTTCCGCAAAAAAATAAAAAATAA